TCCAAATTAGGGCCCAGTTCTACCAGAGGAGCAGCTCATTTTCCCTTGAAAATGAAATGAAATCTTGAATTCTGCATCTTCTCATAGGAATGCCTGAGCATTACTCCAGGTCCTGGTTTAAGCTAAGCCCTACTAAAACTCACTCTGGCTTAGTTTTCTAAATGGTTCCTGAACTTGAAGGTGAAAGAAGCTCATTGCAAGTCACTCAAATTTTCCTACACACCTTCCCCAGCCATGTATTGATTAGCTCACAGAGGAGGTTGGGGCATTTCTCAGTGAATGTGAAATTGCTTTAGAATGACAGAAGTAGTAACAAATGCATCCAACTCCCAGGACCACCACTTAGGTTTTCTTTCTCTAATTTAAAGTCTGTTCACTGATTTCTGGTTTACTTTTTTTTAAGCCAGTTGTAAGCTGGTGTCTGGGGTGAATATGAAATCCAGATTCCACTGCTGGGCCATAGGGAGGTCTGTTGAACAGTAAGCAGAGAGCAAAGGGGCTCTCATTAACCTAACGAGAGGGCCTGCAGAACTGCTGGTACAGTCAGAGTCTTAAGGTGACTATTTAGGAGCCACTGACCTAGCAAGAATATCGGCTGGTTCTGCAGTATGGCAGCCCATGTCAGAACTGCTCAAAACATCCCTCTCTTCAGGAGTGTAGCCTGGCTATGCTTAGATTAGGAGGGTCAAGGCTGCAACATAAGTGGTAAATCTTGTCCTGCAGTCTCTGCTTTCCCCCTTCAGTCCAGAAAACTCAGGAATTTCTGGCATTTGAGCCCCTACCTTTCTCTTGTTCCCGATGGAGGAGGTCTGGGGTCATAGGGGGGGATGATGTGTGGGGAATATGCACCGTCAACTTGTCCTGCTGCTGTGCTCATAGATTCATAGTTTGTAAGGCCAGAAGGGACCTCAGAAGTTCATCAGTTCCAGCCCCCTGCACCAAGCAGGAAAGATAACTGGGGGTCAGGTGACCCCAGCAAGGTGACTGTCCTGTCTCCTCTTGAAGATTTCCAGGGTAGGTGACTGCACCAGCTCTGGAGGGAGCTTATTCCACAGTCTGGACACCCTGACTATGAAGAAGTCTTTCCTAATGTTGAGCCTGAATCGGTCTTCCAGGAGTTTGTGGCCATTACTCCCGCTTTTCCCCTCGGGTGCCCTGGTGAACAGTTGTTCACCGAGCCCTTGATGTCCTCCCCTAGTGTAATGGTAAACTGCTACCAGGTCCCCTCTCAGCTTTCTTTTCTTCAGGCTGAAGAGTCCCAGTCCCTCAGCCTTTCCTCGTATGACTTGCCTTTTAAGACTGATCATACAGGTGGTCTTCTTTGGACTCTCTCAAGCTTGTCCATGTCCTTGTTAAAGCCCAGAACTGGATGCAGTACTCCAGCTGTGGTCTCACTAGTGCCGAGTAGAGAATTAGTGAGCCATGCTAATTAAAAGTGCCCAGTTGTCACGCGTACCAGTGTCCCCATGCTGAAAAAATGGGAGCAGGGTGCTTTGAACTAAAGCTCACTTGACGTTCCACAAGCTTTAGTTCAAAGTGCCCTGCTGCCATTTTCCTGTGCAGGAATGCTTATGCACGTGACACTAGAGTCTGCTGGAGTGTGTTAATTTCCTCCTTCCAGCAAACTGGATCTGCTTGCGTCGGAGTAGGCTCCGTCCATGTGTATAGGAGCCCTAAGTGGTGGCTTCATGGCTGATGGGACCAGGCGTTGGGAGCTGAAGGCCCCCCCCCCCCAAAGCTAGTGGAATGCAAGGGCTCCCCCCCAGCTCTGCAATCCCAGCAGGGCCTCTGCTCTTTCTGCAGACGCCTCGACTCCCAGTGCTGTGCGCAGCTGAGCATTAGCCTAGTCTGAACAGTGCCAGGTGAGAGACTTAAGCAGTAGCCCTGAGCACAGCTGGATGCAGCCAGGGATGGCAACAAAGGGCTGAGTGGAAATGGGAGCTTGGCTTCAGGTTTGGACTCGGGAAGCAGCAGAGCAGCTACCCAGGCGGGGAGCAGCTGAGGCCCTGTGCCATGGGGAGGGAGAGAGCAGGCCCGGCATGGCTACATGGGGCACATCAGGTGAAAAGTGCTGGGCGGGAGTTGCACAATGGGGGCCATGCTGGAGACTGGAGACTCCTTGCAGTCTGGACGACTGGGAGCAGCAGTTCTGCAAATGCAGCCAGTTGCTGCTGGGCTCCTGTCCTGAGGTGCCTGACACAGGGTCCCACCCTGCAGACTGTCGGGCACCAATGCTCCCTCCAGGTGCTGGGACAGGCCAGCAGGAGCAGCCACCTTGGTGCTGGAGCTGGAGCTCAAAAGCTAGCAGTTGCCTGTTTCTTGGCAGATGTTTCTAGCGCTGTCAGGCATCCTGACCTGGGCTGCCCTTTGCGCCCGGGCTGGGTGGGACCAAGGGTCTTTCCACGGGCCGGACAAAATCCCTTCATAAGCCATATTTTGCCCACCCCTGCTGTAATCCCATTCTGCTACTGTAACCTCTCTCCACCCCATCTCTTGCACAACTGGTCTTTTCACCTCCAGGGTTTCCTATGAGTGTTTTTTACCAGGAAACACCCAAGCTCAATCTATCTTGAAGGAAAAATGAGCTTGTACAGCCCATCAGCTGGGTGTGTATCCATGTCTTTTGGGACTTGGCTTTGTTTTCCTTTTGGCACATCTGTTTTTTGTTCAGCACCTTTGTATTTATCCTTCTAATTGGTGACCATTTGAGAGCCCTTCCCTTGGAGACAGACCAGGCTGCTGCTGTCAGAGCTGCTGGAAAGCAAGTGTGAAAAAAATACTTTCACTGGCGTGTTCCATTCCACCCTTAACTGGAATCATTCCTTCTGATATTTTATCAGCTGATTACTTTTAGCATCTGCAGCTGCATGAGCCTTTCTTGCTGCAAAGAAGCAATATGAGCTCTAGGGTATGAAGTTTTCCTTTGATTTTTATGCCAATTCACCTACTTCTTTAGAGGTAACTTCTGAAACCTATTAGCATGATGCTGATTAAAAGTGAGAAACAATTTATCAGTGACAGAGGGAGGTAACTTTGATTTAATCTCTGATTATAATACAGAAAACATGTTTATTTCCAGAGATAAAAACCACAGTGATATACCCTGCCACAGAGAAACACCTTCAGAAATATCTGCGCCAAGAAGTGCATCTCATCCGCGAGACTGGGGAGGATTACAAAAACATTACGCTGCCGTTTATCCAGTCTCAGAGCTTCAGCATCCAGGTATGGTTACTCATCCTTAATGCATCTCAGTCTCTTCTAGAGCAGGAGTTTCAAGCATGCAGCCTGTAGAGCAGTGTCCCCTGGCCTGTGTAACTCCTGGAGGGCTTGGGATTTCAGTGGCAGCCAGTATTAACCCCTTCTGATCCCTGAGCCAGTGCAGCAGCAAAGGTAACTGCCTGGGTTAATGCAACCATTGTTCCACCCTGCTACCAGAATCTCAGGTATGGATCCCCACTGAAGACTTTCATCAGCAGTGAGGTAATCAGCAATGTTAACGCCTGCAGTACCCTGAGCCAACACAGTCTCTCAAGCATCTGTGCGTGTTAATGCGGCCGTTGTTCCCCCACCCCGTGGCCAGAGGTGCATCCTAGCTGGGCCCACAAGGAGCCCTCCAGTCCCAATACCGCATGTGGGACCAAATGAATTTGACACCCCGATCTACATTTCACTGTTCCATCTGGACTGAGAGGTAAAAAGAGACTTTTTTGACAGTGGCCTAGCACCCTAAGCTTTGTGTTGTGTGAAAGTGGCTGTTGCATTTAAACAGGCTTGGAGCAGCTGGCTTTAACAGAGGAAGAAATTTGGTACCCGCAGGAGTTTGAAGTGCAGGTTTTCTGCTCTTCAAACATTGGAAAATCCAACCAGTCCAAACAAAAAAATAAGTAGGGTGTTCCTGCTGTGGTAGTTGTCTCTGATTTGAAGAGAGAGAGGTAGATTGCCCTGTTATTCTAAAGTCAGACAGGTGGCAGGGTAGGGTTGCGCTTTAGATTAGCTAAAAAGGTGCAAATCTACCCTGCCTTCTGTCTAATGAAATTTATGTATATGCACAGCCACTCACCCCTCTCCCAACAACCTCTCTTCTTTCTTTCCATGTTCCTAACTGTGCTGAAAGGATCATGTAGAGTTGTCTAAAACTGCAGTTACAGGGAGATTAAGTTAATGTTACAGCTGTTCCATCATGTTTGTCCAGCCAACCAGAAAACAAAAGATTGTTAACCAAGAAATCTATACGAAGCTCTGGGTTTTCAGGAGCTTTAGGTACAGAAGCAGGGCTCTGGCACTCTGCCATCTTCCTCACCTTGTACTGCTTATTCATGGGGAGTTCTCTCATATCAGATGGCCTTCATCAAAAGTTTAAATCCAAGTGTTCTCAGCTTCAGTAAACTGACTTATCTGCCTCTGTGCACTTCCTCCCACTCTTCCTGACTCAGTTGTTTCCTAGTTCTTGTCCTGCATCTCTAATCACTCCCGCTTATTGTTTTTTGTGTTTTCCATATCACTCATAGTTTTCACAGCCTGTAGGCCCTCTTTGGCCCCTTCCTCTTTTTCCTCTGTACCTTCTTCCTGAGCAGCCTTGTTCACAAACATCAATTCAGTGATAGCCCTGGCACATCATGCACAGACTATGGGGCCAGGGACCCAGGTGCCCTGTATGCACGAGGGTAGCACAGGCAGCAGTGCAGGGTTGTGCCCCTCGCTGCTGCCCCCTCCTGCAAGGGAAGTGTGGCCAAGGCAGCGTGGAGCTCAGAGAGGCAGGCAGCTTTCGTGCACCTCTCTGCCACACCGGGTTTCACACGCTGCTCTGCAGAAGTGGCGGGGAGGGCAGCATGATGGGAAACATCACCAGCACCTGCTGCCTCCCCAGGGGCCAGGGCCGGGCATGTTTGCTGAGTATGGCACACAAGGCCATTTGCAGCCTCGTGGCTGCAGCTGACCCAGGCTCTGAGGTAGCTGCTGCCAGCCATGGTACCTGCTTGCAGCCTCCCAGCCACCAGTTAGAAGCAGCCTGGGCTCCTAGCTAGCAGCAGCTGCCTAGAGCCCAGGCTGGCAGTATCGTGCTGAGCAAACTGGCCTTATGTGCCATGTTTGGCGGACATGCCGGGGGTTGCTGACCCCTGATCTTAGAACCTCACACTCAGGTTATGTGTAATTTCTGATTCTTCCTGCATAAGATTAAGGAATAGCCTTTGTCATCCATGCAGACAGCTAGAAATCCTTGGTGAGGCTTCCTCCTTTTGCATCTCAGTTACAGAGCACCCTCCTCTCAGGTGCTGACAAAGCCAGTCTCTTGCCCAAGTCTCTATCCATCCAAAATACTGCTGTAATATCAATTTTCTTTAGTCATTGCCTTTGCCCTGTCATTCCTTCCTTTGCCTTTATCCACTGGCTTTCCCATTCTCCATCATACCAAATACAAACACCTTGCCTTGGCTTCCAAAGCCGTTTCCCAGCCTGTCCCCATCTATCTATCGCTTCTTATCGCTCAAGAGAGACTCACGTCTTTGCCAGTAATACCAGCCTTCATTTTCTGTTCAGTGAATTTTCAAACAAGGTTTTCATGCCGTCTCCCATGCTGCCCTTCAGACATGGCAGGGGCTCTTTGGAAACATATGAAGGGCCACTTTGTTGTCCTCTTCCAAGTCCCTCATTAAGTCTTCCTTTCCTGGGGTGCCTCTCAAAAATACTTCACTGCTAGTCCTGCTGATCAGTTTTGTCTTATTGGTACACCCATTTGTCTGTATTTACCTGTTACTTGTCTTCCACTCAGCTTGCAGGCTCTTTGGGGTAGGAATAGTCCATGTTCAAAGTTTGTATGGTTTGTAGTATGATTGGGGTCTTAATCCATGACTGGAACAGATTGAACTACCATACAGATAAGTTCTCTACAGTTTGTTGCCAGGATCTTTTAGATGAGCCCATAAGCAGCACCTGCAAGCTCTGGCTGGATGCTGTGACCTCGCAAAGCTTTCATTATGAAAATCTGGGCTTGCTGTAATGACTTGTCCAGGTCTCTGCGCAGACCTCCTGTTGGACAGCTTGCCCCATACTGTGTTCCTGTTGCCCTCCACACCGCGTGGGAGAGGGGCTGCTGCATGCTAGTGGTATAATTTCTGTAAAGTTTTTTCAATCCTTCAGCAAGAAAGATGTGATACAATTATGATTCCTCTCATTTCTAAGTTGCTTCAGTTTCTAATTTGCAATTTGAATATTCCATATGGAAAACTCTCCTGGACTGGGAGATAGTCACTAAAGAAGATGACTGCTGTCCTGATTGTCCGTAAACCCTCTGTTTTGGATGGTTTTGGTTTCGCCAAAATTGTATTAGACTTCTTTTGCCAGGGGGAGTGGATTTGTCTCCTTTCTTATGTGCCAGCTGACTGAACAACTCCACTCATTGTCATATTTCCCTGCTTTGCAGGGTAGGGAATATTTCTCTTGTCTGTTGGGACCAAGTCTTGCACAAAAGGAGGAGCAAAATTATTCAGAAAATATAATGTTGACTCAATAATTCAGTTAATGTTTCCATAGATTGGTACACAGCACATTAGAAATGATTATTATTGACGTGGCTAATCTGTACATCAACTGTTATAAAAATTAAAACTGGCGCACAATTCAAACGGTTCCCAGCCCTCTTCACTGTTGTTTGCTACAGTTCCACGTGCTCTGTTTCATGGTGTTGCCTCTGGACCCTGATAAGGGTGGTTCCTGTCGATCCTTGATAAGGGTGGTGCATGTTCTTTTGTGTGACTGGAGCTGAGGCTTTCCTGAGGCAGTTAAAACTAACATGTGTTTCTTGAAGGTGCTTCTGCCCCATTGCAATATCAGAGCTCTAGTACTGATGTACTTATTACTCAGAGCAGCCAAGAGCATTTGCCTCCACTTATCTGCTGCCCAAGGCAGTGCTGAAGCAGTTAAGGATGGAGTTTGCTGTTTGTTTTTCTGATTGCTCAACATGTTTTCTGCATCTAGTGATGGAGGCCACTTTGCAGGCTGCAGTCTGCTTTCAATTACTCCCCACACTTGTATCCTTTTATTTGCTCCATTTTTTGTCGCTCTCCTGCCAGCAGTCAGGCTACAGCACCAATAACTTACAACAGGCACTTATTAGCTGTGAAAAAGCAAAAATAGTATTTGCCTTAGAAAATGACAGCAGCCTACTCAAACATTTTTTTTCACGTCTTTGCTCTGAAGACTATAGGGCTCGTGGTCCTGGCAGCTTCCTCTGCAAGTTACTAGAATAGCCCTCTCTGTGTATTTCAGTATGCAACTCTGTGTGGCCTGCTAGAGTTTGTAGTCATCCGCCTAGGAAAGCATATTAACAAAGGCCATCAGAGGTGTCTGTTTTGGGTAAGCTAGGAGACATCCACCAGCAAAGTCTTCTGATATACCCAACCCCTCTGAGCTTTGATGTTCTAGTCCCTCTTTCTCTGTTTCCTCGTCTTGAAATCAGTAGAGCAGAAGGGAGGGAAGGGTGAAGAAAACCTTAATGTCCATCTTGCAAATGACACCCTGTTCTCTACCTCAGTCTCGATCCTTTCAGACAGAAGGTTCTTTAATTTAAAAGCATGTAGGATTCCCCTGTTGTAGAAGGTAAGGTAGATTTGCAGCTTACAGACTAACCAAAATAAATAGCTAAATGGATGCATCTATACAGATATATTTATTAGATATACACACACCTTGCCTTTTACTTGACTTCAGACTAATACGGCTAAGTACAGTTCCTTTCTAGGTCAGGTGGAACCATCCTGGTTCCAAATACGGTAGGACATTGACTGGGAGGAAATATTTGAGGTTTCAAAGTGATAGAAACAAGTCTTGAAATGGGACAGAGAAATGGGACAGGAGGTAAAGCACCTTCTACTTGAAGTTAATCGCCAGAGTCTCCCAGGAAATATTTGCAGCAACTTATTTGAAACCTAAGCCAGTGGTATTCCTAAAATTGAGGCCTTTAAATTCTTTGGGATGTCATTTTGGACATCAGTGATGGGGAACTGATCTAGCTTCCCTTGACAGCTTAGAAACCTTTCTAGGTTTCTAAGTAAAAGGCTCCAAATATAACAAAATCCTTTGCTCTTCATCTGAGGCTCTGGGAGATTTATAAGCTTGAACCCAGGAAGCTTTACCAGGAGAACATAGTGTAGTGGTGTGAAAAGGTACCTTAGAAAGCCCCCCAGCAAGCAGGCAGCACTCTGTTCTGTCCTCAGTTCTGCAATGCACGTGAGCAGTACCCAGCTTGCTCTAAAGGCAGTGTTGCTTGACACTTATAGTGGGAAGGGCCCAGTATCTGAAGGCCAATGTCTTCTGTCATGCTGATTTATCAGCAGTGAAAGGGCTTGATCTAATAGGTCTGTCTCACCATTGCATCAGAGTACTGTAGGCAGGTGGCAGAGTGATTGAAAGAGCATAGTGCAACAGCAGGATAGGACTGGCTCGCCACTGCTCTAACCTACAGCGTGGCTGTTAGAACTGGTGACTGGGGGTTGTTGAGATTACTGGCTTCTGTAGTCAGGTCTGCCATTGACTTGCTGTGGTTAAAGCAGGTTGGAGGGTCCAGACTAGAGTGCTTTGCCTATGTGGTGCTGACTTCTCAGTTCCTCCTTTTATAAAGTGCAGGCAGTGCCTTGATTTCTGCTTAGAAGATGGCTGAGGGGTTAAGCTGTGAACATAATGCACACTCTTATTCACAGTATATGCAAAATGCCTTACCTGTCTATGAAGGTGGGACAATCTACCTCACATTTACTGCTAGGGAAGAGCAGGTACCTAGGTCTCAGTTGCAGAGCTAGCTGTAAAGTTACTCTCTGGCTTGCCTAGAGATAACCTCTTCATGTCCCCGTGCCCTATCAGGTGGTCTATAATCCTGTCTGAAAGGCATTTTAAGACCTAAGTTATCATCTCTTCTGGTATCTGAGATGTGTCCTTGGGAAATAAAAAAAAAAAAAAAGACATGGGTGCCCTGACATAGCTGTGGAGAAACTTTTTGCAAATGCACTCAGAATATTTTGACCGTGGAATTAACCCCTTGGCTTATTGAGGTGCAGTTTGCCTGCCAGAGCTCAGGTAGGTGCCATTCTGTCTCGACATGCTAAATTTCCTGTGACTGCTGAGTGGTAGTTAACTGTTAGTCCAAAGTTAGGCAGAAGGCAGGGCAGGGTGGCACCTTAGAGACTAACTGGTTCAGAGAGATATGAGTTTTCATAGGCAACAACCACTTCATCAGATGCTGACAGAGTTGTCAGATGCTGTTGCCTATGAAAGCTCATGCCTCTCATGTCAGTTATTCTCTAAGGTGCCATCCTGCCATACATTCTGCCTGTAGCTTTAGAGGGCCTAAAACAGTGGTGGGCCCCTGTGTCTTTACCTATTTCTGCTCCCGAGAGTAGAGTCCCATTGTGTGCAACTGTCCAGTGCTGTGATGAGCCCAGTGTCCCAGTTTCCATCCATTTAAAGCTCCTGGGCCCAGTGTCCATCCATTTAAAGCTCTTTTTCCATGTTAAGTTTTATGAAAGGTGTCAAGTACAAGCAAAACCACTGGAGTGATTTAGCAAGTCACCCAGAGGAAATGTCCAAGTGCCAGACTGCAAAGGTCCTTAAAGTGGAATGAATGGGAATGGATGCAGCATAAAACATTGATCACAGGTTCCCCATGTTAAGGGAGTCTGCTCTTCCCCATGAAACTAGCTCTACTTATCGCATGGCTGCTTCACATGAAGGAAGACAGAATGGGTTACAACTGTTTGATTGAGTCTGTGAACAAACTTGTTTAAAGCTAGGGCTTATGCACTTTGGCTGGTTGCAGATGTTTAAAACAAACAAACCCAAAACGCTCTTTACTGGAAGAAGCAGCACATTACTTCAGCCTGGCTCTGGAGCATCTGTAAAGCTCAGTTGCTTCAGCAGGGCTTTTTGACACTTTTAGGTAAAGCTGATTCAATCAACTATTAGATAAAAGCACCAACAAACCCCTGCTAAAGCACCAGATCTGTCAGGTGAACTGGGTTGAAGTAGCATGCTGCCTGTTCTGGGCACGTGCGTCAGCGCAATAACATGCCGAGTTTAATGTAAAACACTGTTGTGGGGGGGTATGCCTGCAAGCACCCTTGATTGTTTTTAACCTGGTTATCAGATAACTTTGGATAGCTAGACTGGCAAGAGCCAGCCATGTTGTACCACGTGATATGTTTCCTGGTGACTGGCAGTCTTGTTAATAGTAATTTATGTTGAGGTGTACTCAAGTTATATTCAGAAGTCCCACTGTTACAAAGACCGTAGTCAGATTTAATACCTTTGGGGAGCTTGCTACCCAGCCTTATTGAACAGCCACGTTTCAGCAGTGTCTGTTTCATAGGACAGAAGGGTCCTGCCAGGGATAATTCTTTATGGATTCTGTTACACCTGAATGTAGCAACTGCTGTACTGGATTAGACCATCTAATTTCAATATCCCATCTCCAGCTGTGGCCAATACTTAGCACATCAAAGGAAAGAAAAATTCTCTCTTAATTCAGCCAGCCAATTGTGCAGTGTTATAAATGGGGTCAGGAAGGTATTTTTCACCTGTGATGATCACGATACTCTGGAGCATAATATTTGATTATTTTACAGATAATTGACTGCAAATGTTGCTGACCATAAAATAATTTAGCTCTTTATAAATCCAAGTATAGTTCCTGTATTTTCCACTAGTGGTAGATTGGAAGTAATTTAAGAGGTTAGTGTAAAGGTGCAGTATTTTGGCTTTTTGCTGCTTTTAATGATTGGGTTTTTCTCTTTCAGTGGGTATATAATATCCTGGAGAAGAAGGCTGAGGCTGATCGGGTAATCCATGAAAACCCTGATCCTTGCAATGGCTTTGTTCTCATTCCAGATTTTAAATGGAATCAAAAACAGGTTGGTTAGCCACTCACTTGATTCTTTGTCTTAAAGTGACACCACTTACTTTAAAGTAACATGAAAGAAGTAATATTTTTACATTAATAACAACTCTTGAGACACTTACAACCAAAAGTTTGAAAAATTGGATTAACCTTTTTCCCCATGAGCACTCAGTTTGGGTACACACCATTAACACAGTGTAACACTTCTTACAGTTTATTAAGCATGGACACAGCAGACGCACTGGTTGGTTCCAATTTTGTTAGTGACTTACTAGCCAAGTTTATTTTCTAGCTTTCCTACCTTGGTGCTGATACTGCCAGGTCATGTTTAAAACCAGACAAAATTACGTGTTTGTCCTGGACGAATTTCTGTTGTTTTAAATTTTTGTAAAACTTCATTTTTGTAAACCTAAAACTTTTAGGCATAAATCAAACACACTGTCCTTTTTAATTGACCCAATTAATTTTCCTTCTCCTTCAAATGTTTAACTGTGCATCACTTGCCTTAAAGTTGTCATCATAATATTATCACCTTGTAGGTAGCTTGCTTAACCCTTTACTAGAGTGGCTGCCCTTTTTTCATATTCGGAAGTCCATAGATTTTCATCTGGTCTGTAATACTATATTTAGGAGAGTTTTTTTTTTTTTTAATAGCATTCC